TATTTATTCATAAGTAATATGACATTGTTCTTCAATGTCTTGTCTATATCTGACTTATAAAATGCCTCACTACTTCTTCTATGAGATTTATATCATTATCAGTTAGAATTTCACATAGTATTTCATAGTTAATATAGATCTCATTATATAAGAACTTTATCACTATCTTCTCAGTCATCTCTGAAACTGCTTTTATAACTGATCAGTCAGTAGCATAGTTAATAGCAGTGATTATTCAATAATTTTTATTTGATATTTACAGTAATATGTCTATAATGTTTATCTCTCATTATTTTAACAGCTATATCATACTTTTCATCTGATGTTATACTTTCTTATATTCTAAGTCTTTCTTAGACTCTTTTACAACCTGATATTTCAGAGACTTATGAGTATACATTTGAATATTCTCAGTTATGCTTTGTCAGTACTCTCTTGATTCAAGTTTGCTTATGAGTTCAGAGCTTTCTAAGTGACTAAATTTCTTATGCATATAAGTTATCAAGTCATATCTAAATAAATATTCTAGATAGAAAGTCTTCATATATTCTAGATTATAGTAGAGCATAACATTATTTTTCAATTTTCTCAGCTTAAAGTTCAGAAGTATCTCTTCTACTACTTTTATAAGATACTTATCATCTGATATCTTATCATTCTTCAAGTGAGAGATTATAACATTTACTTATTCTGATTTCTTGCATTCTCTCAGTACATTTAACATGAACTTCTCTTATGCCTGGTTTATAGAACTCTCACTCATTAAATCAGATCTGTAACTGATTATATCAGACATCACAGTATCTGATCTCTTTCACTATTTAATATGAAAATTGTATACTTGAAACTTCAAGCTTCAATGTGCTAAATGTTTGAAAGATTTTATCATTGATTGTAGATAGATAAGACTTTGATAATTCATAATAACTGTTGTTGTATACCTGTTATTGATATATTTACAGCCACAGAACTCATCCGCTCCACCACGAACTCGCTCAATTCTTCGAATAAGAATCCGCCGATAGATTCATTGAAAAGCCCTCAATCATACAAGCATTTTGACCCCATCGCCGACCGCATACTCTGTGTGGTAATGAAGTTATCCAGCCAAATGTAAACCAAACATCATTTGAAACTCCTGTGTGAGATTATCCCCTGTTCACCCCTCCCACACCACAACCCCGGGTCAAATTGTTATACAGATTGTAATATGAAGAGACCTAGTTATATACATCAATCTTGTTAACTTTGAAAGATTCTCCATCTGTAATTGTGAAGATATCTGAAGAGCAATCTCTGTGAAAACCCTGTCTATCTTTGATGTTTTAAAATATCAATGCCAAGTCTCACTCACGGACCGCTCTTCTCAATCTGGCTCATTCTCAGCAGAAAAATACAAAAAGATAACATTATCAACCATCTAACACTCATTTCCACCTAATGCTCGCCTTTATAAATCAATAACAATTAACTTCAAATATTCATATCTCAATGAATATTTATTTAAAACTACTCTAAAAAACAGAACAATAATTCATAGATATATATTATATTATATTAAATTTCTATGAGAAAATAACATATAATTATTAATTTATTAAGCTTTTTAAAATACTATTTTAAAATAAAATACATAGTCTATATTTATAAATATATTTATAAATATGAATTATTTTCATATAAAAATTAAATATCTTATAGATTCTACGTATTTTTAATAAAATCTAAAATTCTATCTTGAAATTTTTATTTATTATTGATTTATTTAAATTTTTATATAAAATCTTATATTTTAAAATATTATTTTTGAAATAACTGTGTATTATTTATACTTTAAAATTGTAATTTAAATAAATTATTATATTAAATTATTTAAATATATTTATATTTAATAAATTATTTTTCAAAATTTAAAGTTTCAAGAGTTTTCAATATTTTACTTGTAATTTATAGAAAAAATTATAATAAAAAAATAAAAAAATTCTTAAAAATTAAAATATAGAATTCTTATATAAAATAATTTAATATTGATTAAATTATAATATATTTCTATAAGAATTATTATTTTCAATAATATATAATACATATTTCTTAATTTATTATACTGTATTGTATATTCTAATTGAATCTATATTTTAATCAATTTTAACTATATTCTAATAATTTTAACTTATATTATACTATAAGTCTTGATATTTATAGATTACAAATGAAAAAATTAAAATAATGAATATTTATTGAGATATTAATATTTGAAGTTGATTGTAATTGATTTACAAGGTGAGTGTTAGGTGGAAACAAGTGTTAGATGATTGATTATGTTATCTCAGTAATAATATTGAGTATATAATCAACAGATATATCTGAAGTGCAATCTCTGTGAAAACCCTGTCTGTCTTTCATGTATCAAGATATCAACATCAAGTCTCACTTATGTATCACCTCATTCAATCTGGCCTATCTCCGGCAGAAAAATATAAAAAGATACCTCAGCAACGGTATTCAATACATAATTAACAGACAATGACAACTATAAAATCAGTATATCTCAAGGTCTGACTGAGCCTTTGATCCCTGCACAGTAAGATATGTTAAATCTGGTTTTACTATCTCAATATTTAATAGATTCTGTAAGAGATTGAGAACAGCAACACTAAATTTCTATTGAATTTATGAATTAACTCTATATTGATATAATCATTGACAAAGTCTTTTATTTTGAGATATAAATAATCACTTCCTGTATATTCTACTGACAATATTTATATTATTATATAAAAATGGACTTACATTCTCTATAATATCAAAACTCTGAAAAGGGAAAGTCTTGATAGAGAGTATACAGATAACAGTAGTGTATATTTTAGTATTTTCTATCTCATTCTTCTGCAGTAGTTAATGTAAAAAAAAGATCTTAGAATTAGTTTTTTACTTCACTTGAAAAAGTAAGACGTTTTTCTCTGAATTTTACACAATATTCTTATAAAGAATTAAAAACAGACTTATTTTATATTATAATTTCACATTCTTTTAAGTTAGAATTATATTTTCAGTGATTGAAGAGCTTTCATTAATACTTAATTCTTTTTTATACTCTTTACTAACTGATTTGAGTAGCACATTTGTTATGTGAGAAGAATTGAATGATTTAGAATAAAATTAAATAGTTTTAATCAATTTCTTTGCAAAAAATTAACTTATTTTTTGTCAGTTTTCTCTCAAAAACTGTTATATTATCTGATTTATTATCAATTAATATTATAATTTTTCTCACTATATCTTAAGAAAGAGATTGTAAAGATTTTATTGATTTATCTTAAAAATCAATTTAAGTTTATTAGATTCTCTTCAAAAATCTAATCTAGTAACTGAACTAGTGTGAAAAAAATCAGATATTTATATATAAAAGTCTTTTCATTCTTCTTTTGAAATAGTCTGATCAACTTTTCAATTGAAAATAGACTGATGAATCTCTCAATTGAAACAGTCTGATCAACTTTTCATTGAGTGAGTAAAATGAGTTTAAAAATATACTTAGTTAATGTGAAAAACGCTGCTTTCTCAGATGCTATTTCTGAGATTGAAATTCTGAAGAGAAGAAAGAAAGAAGAAATAGAGAAATAACAAGTTCTTGAAATATAAGAACTTGAAAAAGTCAGTAAAATTCTTGAAGAACAGTGTCTGATTGAGATGAATGAAGAAGTTCTGTCAATTTGTTATACTCAGACTAGACAACTATAGAAGATGATTAAGTTTAAACTTAGAAATTCAAATAAAGTATAAAAAACATTGAAAATTTCTAGTATAATCACTGACTCTTCTTCTTCTTTTTCTTCTTCAAATTGGAAAAAAATATATGCTTAAGCAGCAGTATCTGCTGTTTCTAAATTCACTATCTTAAAATCTGCTCAAAATTCTGGAAATACTCAGAAGAAAAATGCTCATACTTCTCTTTATAAGAAAGAAGAGAAGAAAATATAAAAAGAGAAAAACTTTCAAATCTTCAGAAATAGAAGACTTATTCTCAAAGTCTTAAATAGAGACATTCTGCAGAAGAATTCGCTGAACTCAAATCTTATTTTTAAAATCAGAAATGAAATGAATCAGCAGTTCTTTTCTCAGTTAATAAATGATATTAAAGTTCAAAAATCAGTTATAGCTTCAATTGAGCTATCTTTCTTTGAAAATTTCATCATTCTAACTACAATATCTGAATTTAGCATGGAATTTCTTATTGAGAATGAGAATATCTGAAAATCAGTAATATCATCTCTGTTAAACACAATAATTCTATCTGAAAGAGATAAAAAGTGAGACAAATTCATTCTTTATAATATTTCAGTTGAAATTTTCAACTATGAGAAAGAAATGCTACTTCTCAAAAATGAGTTAGAAGAATATAATTGTAGTCAAATGAGAAAGAAGTCTGTATAACTGAATTCAATTGAATTCACATAAAACAGAAGAAATGTCTATGTTCTAGTTTATATAAAATACTTAAATAATCAAAAATCTCTGAAGTAAGATTTACAGGTTTGAAAATAAGAGTTCATGAATTCAAAGACTCAAGAATGAATCTCAAAGCATAAACACAGTGAGTAAACTATTAAAAATATGAACACTTTGCAATCTCTTGTTTCAGAGACTTAAAATGTGAATTCTGTATCAAAGATTACAAAACTAGTGAGCATAAATATGAAAAATACTTATTATTATGATTATTACTATTATTATTCTTTCATTATACTCATATGCAAGTTGAGCTTATGATGAGTCCTTGCGTGATGTTAAATACAGGTCAAGTGTTGATTCCACAGGAGGAAATACAGGTGTTGAGATCACACCAAGATAGCAAGAACATAGAACAATACAAAGAAGTGACAATTAGATACATGCGATAATAACTTCCCAGCCCAGAAACATAGAGTGATTTATTAAAGGAATTTGTACACCTCTGTATTTATTAGAAATCTGAGGTGCTTAAGTTCTGGATTTTAATGTATCCCCTGCGGGTTTCGAACCCGCGCGCCTTGATTTCCCACACCAAGGTGCTACTGAGTCACCGCATTAACCATTCAGCCACTGAGGCATGAAAAATACTTACAAAGAGATGAAAACTATTAATATACTCTGCTTAAATACTCTAACTGCAAAAAAAAGCACGCATTTAGCTCAAAAGAATGCATATTTACTTCAAGAATTCAGAAGAACTGAAGAAAAAAAGCAGCTCAAAGTTAATTTAAAAGTGAAGGTAACTATCAAGTCAGTAAATCTACAGCTGCAAGCTTAAAAAGAAGAAACTCTTAGTTGTCTAAATTCTCAAACTCAAATTCTTCAGCTAAATATAAACAGAATTTGAATTCTCAAACACCTGTTATGATTAGAGAATTGAGAAATAACTCTGTTAAAAAACTAGAAAGAATGCTGACAGTTGAAATTCCTGCTTTTCAAAATAGTTATAATCTACTATCTGATGATAGTGATTAGATTCTCCTCTTCCTCTCTACTCTCTTTTAGTATGAATATACAATAAAATTAACAAAAAAAGTTTAATAACACTTTAAAAATCACATTCATTCACAACAATGTGAATAGAAACTTAAATTATATTCATTCTTATCTTCACATTGCAGTTGAATAAAAAGTTGATTTTGTACTTCTTCAAGAATTAAACTTTGATACTGAGTAAAAGTATATTATTTCTCATTCAAGCTATTACTGCTTTCTATCTGAAAAATCTGAGATAAAATCAAGACAAGTGATTTATGAAAGAAAAAGATCAAGATATCAATTTAATCTAAGATTTGATATTATATCTGACTCTGATATTCTAGTGAGTGATATTATAGATGAAGAGAATGAGTTTAATACTATATAACTCATAAATATCTAGACTGACCGCCGGGATTATAAATTTCATATTTAGTCTCATTTAATCTGATCTTCTACATTTCTTGGCGTGAATCCTGCTGGGACTAGTCATTAAAAAAACATTCAAAGTGACTATATATCAGATCTCAAAATGAAATCATGACTTGAAAAAAATGAGAAAGTGATCTCATTTAGTCTAATTTAGTCTCATTCTTGATATAAAGTTACTATTTTTAGACATTTTAAGAGTTCTTTTAGACTATTTTTAATTTTTTAAAAAGTAACACTTTTTGATAACACTCAAATGAGATTTAAAGTCATTTAAAGAAATAAAAATAATTTAAATTAAGAAGTGGAAATCAGGATCTCATTTGAAAAATGTGATAAGAGTAGACAGTAAGTCTCACTGAGTCAGTATGAAACTACTATCTAATGTTAAAACTGTGTAATGAAATCAGTTGAATTGGTAATGAGACTATTAAAAATTCTGGTCCTGTTCTCAGACACGGCCACACGGTCAGCCTATAAATATCTATAATGAAAAGTCATTGAAAGAAAACAACAATATGTGAATAATTAACAGAGAATTTTTAAATATAACTCTCTTTTCAAACTCTATAAATATAGCAGATTTCAATACATATTATTTCTAATAAAACTCACAATACAGAAGGGCAGTAATAGTAGATAAACTGATTAAATAAACTTTTAAGCATTTAATAGATTTAATTAACAAGTCTGATCAATAAATATTCTGTAGAAAAGACATGCAACAGTAATCTATTATAGATCTAACTTTTATATCATAAAATCTAATTGGAAAAAAACTTAGAAACTGACTTATTAATTCAAATGAGACCTGAGAATCAGATCATAAGATTATTCAATTTGATATTAAACTGAGTAAAAAATAAATAAGTGAAAATCCTCTTCTCTCTAATTGATATAGCTTTTAAAAAGCTGATTGAAAAGCAGTTGAAGAAAGTATAAAACTGCTGAAATCTGAAAGGCAGAGTGAGCTCTATTGAAATCAGAGTCAAGAAATCTCAAATGAAATACTTAAGAATAGAGTAAAGCTAATTATATCTATTCTTCTAACAAGTATTAGAGAAAATATCTCAAAGAAAAAGTCTGCTGAGTATTTTCAATCTTGATGAAATGAGAATATCACTTCTACAAGAAAATAATTAGTCACTTCTAAGAGAGATTGAATGAATAACTTAATATCTAATAAAGAGCTCAAAGCTATCAGAAATAAATATTTTTCAGATATTAAAAGAGCTAAAACAGACTGCTGAAACAAATTTATTGAAGAAGTATAAGAAAAAGAAGTTTTTTAAGTCTTTAACTATACTAAAACAAGAAGTGTAGCAAAGCTTTCAACCATAGAATATAAGTTTCAGAATGAATTATATACAGCAAACTCTTTTGAGAAAAAGTATCAAGCTTTTATAAGAATTCTGTTTCAAAATTCATCACATTTAGAAGAGAAGAATATATTATTTCATAAATATATTTATAACAGTAACTGAGAATAATCTGAGCATACATATGATGAACTAGAGTTAGGTATGTTTTTAAGTTCAATTAAAACTGCTGCAGGGCCTGATTCAATCAATTACTTAATTATTTAAAATACATCTTTCTACTTGAAGAATGAATATTTTGAGCTCTTTTTCAATCTTTCAAACAATGATTATCATTCTGAATGCGAAGAGAAGCTACTGAAGTAATTATTGTAAAGTCTAATAGAAAATCTTTAATTTGTAAGTTATATAGAGTAATATCTCTATTGAACTGTCTGAGAAAAACTTTAGAAAAGATAATAGCTACTAGACTATTTTTAATAAGCTCTATTAGTAATTCTCTTCTATTTAATGAATAAATGAGAGATAGAAAACAATGTTCTGTAATTAACACTGTTCATTCAGTTATTTATAATATTTAAATATCAAAGTATGAAGATCTGCTCTCAACTCTAGTTTTTATTAATATAAAAGAACATTAATCAAGTTTCCAAGTCAAAGATGATTGACACTTGAAGATGTAAAACTGTAACTTTCTCTATAAAATGAGTTAACTGTTTTATATCTAAAGGAATTATACAACTATTTCTTAATGAAATGAAATAAAGAAAGACTGAGATAGTAATAGAAGTATCATAAGAATCTTTAATCTTATCTGTTTTATTTACAATATACACTGCATATTTATTCAAGAATAGAGAGATGAAAATAGTGAGATCTTAAAGTAATATAGATAATATTCATCTAGTCTACACTTCAAAAATAATCAAAGAGAATTTAAAAGTGATTGAAAAAGTAGTAAAAAAAATCTTTGTTAGAGTAGATATCAATCTAATTTAATTTAATATAAATAAAACTGAGTTAATTAACTTTTTTCTCAGATTCAATGAGAAAACACTAAGTCTAACTCTTCTAAAAAATGAGATTAAACCCAGTTTAAATGTTAAATAACTAGAAGTATAGTCAAACTTCAAGTTGAATTTTTAATATTATATTCAACAAAGAACTATCAAGACAGAGAGACTATTAAATAGTATAATCAGACTATTAAATACAGAGAGAGATCTATTCTTCAAGACTATGAAACAGTTATACATAGTCTGTATCATCTCAGTAGCTGATTATGAGATACAAGTTTGATAAAATAATTAAGGAAATTTCACTGAACTCTTTCACAGTCTGTAAAAGAGAGCTTTGACAAGAATTCTAAGAGAATTCAAATTATCTTCTATTAAACTAATGAAAATTGAAGCTTCAATTTCTTCTTCTGCTATTAGATTTGAAAAGACCTGTATAAACTATACACTGAGAGTTATAAGGATAAGCTTAAATTATATAATCAGATAAAAGGTTTCTTCTTTATTTTCATCCATCAACTCAGAAAATGAACTGAATTAAAATAGATTTCATAATTAAAATAAAAGTAATTCTTTAAAGAAAATGCTCTCTTAACTATATAGACTATATTCACTAATTAAAAATCAATTTTCTCTATTAAATGTTAAGAAATTTGATCATGAGAAGATATCTCTCAGAAGAGAAAAGTTTGAATCTCTTATAGACTTGTAAATAAATGAACTATTTAAAGAGAGAGAATATGAACAGTATTTAAAGAAGATCTCTACAATCAATATAAAAGACTCTATTCTGATTTACTCAGATAAGGTAAAAAATGAGAGTTTGAACAGATTAAATACAAGCATTGCTTATACTCAAGATAATATTAATTTTACCTCAGATTTCTTGAATTTAGGCTGTGAATCTGAAGTCTTTGATACTGAACTATTTATAATAGTAAAAGCTATCAAACTTATTGAAATAAAATCTTATAAAAGAGAAAATAGTTTGAAAGAGATATGAATATTCTCTGATAGTTGAACTGCTTTGAAAAGTCTTAGAAATAGTCATATTCATAATGATCAAATAAATCTTGAACTGATTTTAAATTCTGTTTTAAAAATTCAAAAGAGAAGAATATTAAAGCTAATAATTTATCTGCACTGAGTTTCTGCTCATATGAATATTCATGACTATAAATTGACTGATTCAGCTGTAAAAAAGAGTTCACAATTAAGCAGATCTATTCAAAAAATAGTGTTCTGATCTTTTATAAAGAGAGAGATAAAAGACTCTTGTTTAGACAAGTGAAATGAAAGCTGGCAGAAACAAAAGAAGAGCATACATTTTTCAAGATTTAAGATAAAACTCAATTGAAAATCTTGTTTAATTAAATGTAAAAAGAAAATATTCTCATCTATAATTCAGCTGAAACTAGAATATAGTTATTTCAAATCTTATATACAAACATTTAATAATAGATTTGATTTAATGAAATGCTCATTCTGCAATATAAATGAAAATTGTAAGTTTATTATAATGTATTATACATTATATAATAGTCTCAGAGTCATATTGAAAGAGAAGTATGATTTAAATTAATTAAATATAAGATTCTTATTCTCAACTGAGCCAGAAATTAAATACTTAATAGACTTTCTATCAGAACCTCAAGCAGCTATAAGAAAACAACTGAAATCAGAAATATCTGAATATGAAGAGATAAAAATGAATCAGATATAGTCTGTTAAAATAGCTATATACTATCTTTTAATATTTTTATTTTATTATAGTCTTTCTTTACTTTACTTTCCTTTTCTGTTCCTTTCTATCTACTTATTTAATGTATCTATCT